TCAAAAATAATTTGCCAAGCTGCACCAGACAGAGCTAGGACCTTTATACATAGGTGGGTAGCCTTCTATAGGCCCTTTAGCAGTTATAGATTATACAAGGTATTATTGTGAGTCTAAAAAAAGTTAGTCTATTATATATGTAACAGTAATATGAATGTTTAGTAGAAAGAGCACTGATTTGGGAGCCAGGAGGGTTAAAGTGTTTACATTTTAAGAATGAGCTAAATGTATAACTTAAATCAAGTGCATCGGCCTAATTATTGGAGCCTGAGTAAAACACATGTTTTCTCTCAAATATGCCCTTTTGCTTCAGTTCAGTAGGGAATAGGCCAAAAGGGAAAATCTGAATGTTAACATATATGTAAAACATGATGGGAAACTACCCTCTCTCTTCCACCAAAACAATGCATGGAGTGGTGAATTTTAAATAGCAGTAATTATTCATATGAGACTCTAATTACCCCAAAAAGGGCACAGAAATAATTCATGTATTACTAATACTCACTGAGCAATTTGGAATATGCACAGATGAGGACAAAACTAGCTTTTTTTTTTTAAAGATTATGGTACACTGCAGTCTGAGGTAGTATCCTTAAAGTTCAAATTAAACATTGGGCCCACAGATAAGCTACAAAAATTGATTTGGCATAAATTAGCCCTATGGATGAGCTCTACAAAAGCAAGGTCTGGGCCAACACCTACATACACTCGCCAGAAACTGCAGCAAATAGAAGCAGTGCAAGTAAGCCAAAGGGGAACACGAAGATGGCAGTGTAACCTGGCTACACCATTGAAAACATTCTGATGAATGCCACCCACGAACACGAGTACACGCTACTACTCACAAAATGGTAATAAATTCATATACATCCACAGGCATTCCCAACTAGTGATGAATTATATTTGAAGCCTACTTTAATACTGGCTAACCACAGTGACTCACGCGTGTAATCCCAGCCCTTTAGAAGGCTGAGATGGTTCGATGGCTTGAGCACATGGATGGCTTGAGCTCAGGAGTTCAAGACCAGACCAGGCAACACAGCAAGACCCCTGTCTCTACAAAAATAAAAATTAGCCAGATGTGGTGCTACTGCACCCCAGCCTGGGCATCAGAGTGAGACCCTGTCTTAAAAATAAATGAATAAATACACTAATTAAGGTAATCACCCATCTATCAGTTTTCAATAGAGGACAAACCAAAAAAACAGTTATGTGCATTTAAACTCTTTTATAAGAATATATTGTATGTAGTTCTTTCTTTAGAAATAGATTTTTTGCTTATTTGCCATAATTTTTTCAATTTGATAAACTGAAGTAGTATTCATTCAATTTCAAAATGTTTTTCCCTAGAGGCCAACAACCCACAAAATAAAATGCAGCACCTGAAGCAATCCTCCAAACTTACTGCCATTCGCAAATAGAGTTTTAACCTTTTGGGTATCACAGGGTCTTTAAGATGCCCACACCTTCTCCCCAGAAAAATGCAGTACACACAACTTGTTTCATAGAGCTCATAGACTTGTTGAACACCATAAATAGGCCACAGATTGACTCTATTGTCTAGCGGGGAATATACTATTATTTCAAAAGTCTCTTAGGAATGGCAGCAAGGAGTGTATGTGCAATGGGTATAAATCCACCCAGGCTTTTGTAGTTGTGATATTACTACTATTTTTGGTGGCCTCAACTTTAATGGAGCAGAAAAACAATTGAGGTTAGCAAATAGTGTGTAAAGGATGGATTCAGTTCACTGGGAAGAGAAAATTCCTGCATACCCTAAAGAAAGAGAAGTTTTGCTTCAGTTTCCAGAGAACCAGAAGGACCATCATTTAACTTCGAATTAACATTGAGTCTGGTAAGTAGGAAATGTCTTTAAATGGGGTTAACATTAATAGACATGAGAAATAGAAACTACATTCTTATTTAAGCTATCAGTAATCACTGATGGCTAAATGTTATTAATATTAGTATTGTTAGTAAGAGGGACATTTAGTTATAAAACTATAGCACAATACTCTAAAATTTTCATCTTTGTTTAAAATACCTGGAAGCACTATAGTTAACTGCAAAATGTTATGTCTGTTATTTTGTACACCTGAAGGACTATTTATGTTTCTCATGTATGTTATCACACAAAGATTATTCTAGAATACTTTTGAGTTCTACATAATACAAATCATGTTAAAGAATCATAGCACCTTTAAAAATTGTTTACACTGAACTGTTATTTAGAGTTTTCCTTAATGTATAGCATAAGCTTCAACAATTTACAGTGGCTCAGGTTGAATATCTATTTTGATGCTATATATGAATAGTTTGATATGTTTTCAGAGAAAAGCAAAAGCTAAATAAATTATTATTAAGTCAACGCTACTGACTCATGTAATTACTAATGAAAACTATATATACTTTCATAAAACCTAATTATTACACAGTTTTGCATTTCAGCTTAATTCCTATTTTATTGTTTTGCCAACAAGACTGCCAACTACTTAAACACTACAGCTAGTCAAGAATTAAATCTGCATTAAATACATAATTAATTTGTCTTTGGGGTTTAATTTTTTTTAATTAATAGCAAAGTGCAACGTCAAGAAGAGTCAATGTACCAAAAAATTAAAACAGAAAATCAAAATTCATTAACTTGTTTGCTCAGTAGTATATTTTTTACATTCACTGAACATTCCCTTGCATTTCCCATAATTAAAAAGTTAATTATTGGAATCATATTTTTTGTAGATCCCAGTTTTCAAACAATGTGATTTAAATGCTTGTAATTAACATTATTACAACACTTTGAGTAACACTGATCCTAACACTAAAGTGATGCTGTTTTGTGCATAATTAAATTTGTTTCTATTATAAACAGAATTTTAAATTTAACTCTATGGTAAAGACCCTGCTTAAGTATTAAAAGTTAGGAACCCTCCAGTCTGAATATTTTTATAACTATTTTTGGCCGGGCATGGTGGCTCACGCCTGTAATCTAAGCAATTTGGAGGCCAAGGCGGGCGGATCACCTGAGGTCGGGAGTTCAAGACCAGCCTGCCCAACGTGGTGAAACCTCGTCTTTCAGGAAATTTTTTTTTTAATTAAAAAAAAAAAAAAATATATATATATATATATATATATATAATATATATAAAACTATTATTGTTTTAAGAGACAGAGTGTTGAACTCCTTGGCTCAAGGGGTCCTCCTGCTTCAGCATCCCAAGAAGCTGGGACTACAGGTGTGCACCAATGTGCCCAACTTCACTGTAACCTTTTAAAGCTAGCAGTTAACAAAAATCTAGTACTGAAGTACTGTTCCTTGAGGGTCAAGTAATTTTCCCTCTCCTCACCTCTTGTCTAAATATTCAAGAAATATTTACTCAGTGATTTAGTAATCTACATTTAGTTGCAAATATATTTACTACTAAATGTAGATTACCATTAATAAATAGTTCCTTGGTTTAGTATTTATGTTCCTTAAAGTTTTCAGAAGATATTAAGTACTATACATGGAGTATTAAAATACTATAAACTGTGTTTAATGAGCACAGTTTTTAAACAATTTTTCAGTGATTGAAACAGATGAAATAAATAAGAATGGACAAATGTAGCACATTAAACTCATAACAATTTTTAAAATTCTGGATTAAACAACCTAAACAACTATGAAACCAGCTCCCTGTCAAAAGCACATCTGGGAATGCTTCTCCAAAAAATACTGTAATTGTCTAAAATTTTATTTTTTAGTTGTCTTATTAAAAAGCCTAATTGAAATTAAAATTATCACTTAAAAATCAAACTGGATTTAATATCCAAAGCATAATCTCCAATATCTACTGAAAACAATTTTTAAAAATCCCACATTTCTGATTTCTCTTTAAGAGAAAAAAAATTGAAAAATCCCCCAAAGCTTGTCAGACCCTTTTGGGCCAAATCATTCAGAAATCTATCTATAAAAATTCAGAATATATTCAGGGCATCAAAATTACCCTACTCTGCAGTAGAATAAACTATTTTCTTACCTTTTAAAAGCTTTGTTATCAATACTACTTAGAATTACCACCAGAGTATCTGCATTAAGATTATCCTAATCTGCAGCAGAATAAACTATTTCCTCACCTTTTAAGAGCTTAGTTATCAGTACTCCTTAGAATCACCGTAAAAATGGAACAGCATCTAGGACTTAATGTTGTAATCAAATTTTCAAATAAGACAAATCAGCCCACATAAAAAAGTATAGCAGTAGGTATAGGCAAGAGAAACCACGAACGAATTTTCGAATCTCGCCAAAGTATTTTTCTTCTAACATCATGTTTAAAGAAATACCAATTTAACTTCAAAAGCCTTGTTTAACTAATGAAACTATTTTTGAAAATCTTAGAGTAACCTAAAATCACATTTTCTCTACTGAGTTGGCATACCAAGTCCTCAATTAAGTTATTTCAGCTGTTGTAATCATACACCTGACATGCTTGATTTGAAATTGGATACAGTTTTTAAAGGTTTAGTTGAATACATTTTAAATTTATCACAGTTTCCTAATATTAAAACTGATGGTAGGAATTAAAAGTTCAAATAAAATAACAGAAACCTCTAATTACGGTGCGCAGCGTTTGCAGTTACAAAAGCAACGCTTTACATTTTTCCCATCATAAGGGCTTTGTCATCAAAATAGTAAACTATACAAATTGAATTGCAACAATTTCCACTGATTGGTAATTTTTTAATAGGAACACTTTCCATTAATGCTTGAAAACTACCAACTACATTTTATTTTATATCTTGTCAAATTAACTGGAGAATATCTATTGTAAAGTTGTCAGCACATCTCTTAAATTACTTTGCTAGGATCCACCTGCTCTATGCTGCCCACTATAGGAAATGCAATACAGTAAGAAGAAATGTAATACTATGAACGAAGGTAACTTTAGTACAATCTCATAAAAAATATACTCAAACTCTACTTGGATGCTAAATGTGATGTTCCTGCAAGAGATACAGACTGATTAGTGGCAATCAAATTTATTAACTCTAAAGGACATCAGTAAGAACAGACAGGACCAGAAATTGTATCTTGGTGATCCACACGCCTGAAGTAGTAACCGGATGCGGCAGAGGATGGAGCCTGGAACTTAGTGATTGAGGCGCAGCCTGCTGAAAGCTGCACTTCTGCACTAGAGATTAAATATGAGGGTCAAAATCAACAAACAAAGCCCCTTTTTAAAAAAGTCATGTAAGCACAAATGATTGCTGCAACTGGACAACATCATTTAAAATAAATTATTCGTGATGCGTATGTTTCAACAAATAAACCTTTTCTTAAACCTTTAAGTTACTCTTGCAAGCAAATATCGTTAATAGCTTACTTTTGTCTTACATTTTTCTAGTCACAGGAAAATTGAAGCATAAGTAATTGATAAACATCAAGTTTTGTGTTTATGCTTTTGACCAGAGTATACAGTGTTAAGAATTTAAATTATATCCATCAGATATACTTTAGGACTCCATTTTGAAGACAGCCTCTTCTACAGAAAACGAATTTTCAATAGTCAGTTCTCCAGTTTCTCATCACGTCTTATTTTTAAAAAAAAAAAAAAGACTTCAAAACGTTAGTATCACTCCAAGTCTTTAGCCTTTGATTCTTGCTCTGAAAAGCAAAACACACTAATTGTATATGTTTGTGTATGTACACGCACATATTAATAACAGCAACTTAAAAGTGGCAACCGCCTCTTGAAAAGTAAAAATATGTCACCCTTCCATTCTGCCCTTAAATGAGAAATAAAGACAATAGATTTGCCCACTGCAGACTGGGATACTAGAAAAGACGTTCTAAGTCTAGCCTGCGACAATATTAACCTGCAATCTTAAGTCCCAACTCGGACGATTTAAATTTCAGTGCCTCCGTTCCCACTCGTGCCCCATCAGCTCTATCAGCGCCATCACCCCCGGCTCGGATCCGGGCAGCGACCCGCCAGGGCCGCCGGAATCCGCGAGTACCGCCCGCTCCCGGTAACCGAGCTCCCCGGCTCCCGGCCGACCGCGAGTTCCTGAGCAGCAGCCTTCCAGGATTCCCGAAGCCCACCGTTCAGGAGAGCAGTGCCGACCGGGCCGTGGACTGTGGCATTTTAAAACTATCAAAAAGTCTCATTGCACGACTGGCGCGGCCGAGGTGGCCCAGGAGATCCTCCGAGAGTTACCGGTCAGCTGCCGGGAGCGCGGAAGAGCAACAAAAGCTACCAAGGCGCCGCGCAAGTCCCCGGAGCAGTCAGCTCAGCTTCTCCTTCTCCCTCCAGTTACAATTACCCCACAGGCTTCTGGCGTTTCCTTCGAGAAAATGAAAAAGTAAAAACGCGTAGAGGTGGCAGAAGTCGTTGACATTTTCCGTCTAACGTGATCCCCTAGGCTCCATCCCTTAAGTGGGGTTTCCAAACTCGGATGCATCCTCAGCGGAGGTATTCCATGTTGACAGATCTTTTGCCTCCCACAAAATGGGGCCGAAGAGGCGGCCGCTGTCTCCTCTATGGGCGCCGCCATTTTGTGAGGCGGCGGCGGCGCGGCGGCAGGAGCCCGGGGTGTGTATAATGGTTGAATAGAATGACCCCCTCTAGGGAATCCCCAGCACTGCTGGTTACGTAAGGGGCTGTGCGCAAGTGCGGCGTTTAGGGAATCCGAACAACCCGGGCCACGCAGCTCCAAGGCCCACATCTCCACTCCCCCTAAGAGGACCAGTGGGGGAAGGGACAGCTGACCGGGTCTTCCTCGCAGCAGCCTCACCCTCCGTCTCCCGCGGCCGCCGAGCTTCTCCACCTCCCCCGGCCGGGTCTCCGCCCCTCGCAGGCTTCCGAGACACTCACTGGCTTGGGTGTCAGGGACTTCCTAGCCATAACCTTATTTCGACCCCACTTAAGAGACAACTTTAGTTGGGAAATAAGTCCATTTCCTAGAGTGAGCACCGGAAGCACGCTGCACTATATTACATAATATTACACCTCCAAAGCAATGTTCCCACTGGAACCACTACCTGAAATAATAATCTATCCAGACCCTTACTACCCTGTGACCTTAGGTTAGGCGGTGACTTTGTTCGTAGTGGCCGTCACTAAAATGGGAATAATAATACGCTTCACTTACTCTAATCTTAATTAACATTTGCAGTAAAGAGCCGACTCCAACACCCCTCGTAAATGCAAATTTAGGTGATAGTATTTGCTGAGATGTTTTGACTTTCCCATTTAAGGAAAGGTTTTTTTTAACCTTCAAAAATATTTTAAACGAGGATTACATTTAAGACCTTTGAAAGCATGGAAAAACATTTTATTCGACATTTATTTTAAATGCAGTAATCTTTAAGAGACCTTACTATAAAAATGTAAACATTAATTATTATTGTCGAAGTTGGACAGGTTGCATCCTAACCAGTTCAATTAGTTTGCATAACTTTGGTAATAGAATAATCCAGTTTGATATGTGAAGCCAACCAGAGGCAAGATGAATTAAGAGCATTACTCTTATTTCCACAGAACTAGGACAGACAGTTCACATTATATTTAACGTATAGTTTACTAAAGATAGCGTGTGGATAATTCATAGAAAATGTGCTAACCGGGCCCCAAAATACTAGCATAAGGCTCATAAAAACCAATTTCTTTAGACTTTACAAAAAGAGAAGGTAACAAATTGACTTTATTCCGATTTGTGAAGGTTGCGTAGCGTGAGCATCCTTTCCCTCCAGAGCCCCACATCACTTCTGTCGAGCGGGCGGGGACTCCGAGGCGGCCCTTCCAACAGACGGGCCAGGGACGCGAACATCGCCTCCACCCCTAACCCTGGAACAACCGGTAGTGGCCGTTTCCCCGCGCCGCCCCCCTTTCCGCCGGCTTTGTGTGCGTGTGAAATGTGTGGCACATTGCAGACGAACCCTAAGCCCGGCGAGCCGAGTCTATTGTTCCCCGCGAGGAGCTGCCGGGGCGGTGTGGAGCCAGGCGCAGTGCCGCGGCCGGCCCTTGGGGGTCGCTGTGCGGCACTGGCTGCCTGGCCGTGGCGGCGGCGCTGGCGGCGGCAGAGAGGGAGGCTGACTAGCAGGGAAGCAGGCGGCTCAGCTGCCGCCGGTGATTCTTCCTGGGGACGCCCCGGCCTCAGCGGCCGAGGCCGCGCGTGAATGTGTGCGAGGGCTCCGCGGGGCCGGGGCCGAAATACACGCTGTCACCCCGCTTTCTACAAACCACCACACAGACCTCCCCCTCCCCACCCCCAGCCCCGCCTGCCCCAGCCCCGCCGCCGTCGCCGCCGCCGCCGAAACTCTAGAGCCTCCGGCTGCCCCGACCCCTCACCGTTGGCTCGCCTTGCTCCTCGCCCGCTCGCGCGCCCCCGGCAGCAGCACCATGTTGAATCGCGTCCCCGGGCCAAGCCACCTCAGCCGGCGGCGCTGAGAGGCGGGCGAGAGCCGGGCCGCGGGGAGGGAGGGAGGGAAGGAAGGGGTGGGGGCCGCGCTCGCCCCGCGGCTTCGCGCGGATCCGGCAGTCGCCTGCCCCTCTAGTTTCGCACCGATTTCTTTAAACTTTTTTAGAAATTCCCCTCCCTCGTTCCCTCCTCTCCCCCTGGCCTCCTGCTCCCTCCTTCCCCTCCTCCTCCTCCTCCTCCTCCCCCTCCCTCCCTCCCTCCCTGCGCCGCCACCGCCGCCGCCGCCGCCGCCGCCGCCGCCACCGCCGGCCCATGACTGAGCCCCGCCGCCGCCGGCCGAGGAATGGGCTCCGGGCTCTGGTAGGAAGCGCTGGGAGCGGGGGGCGCTTTTAAAACACCGATCTGGGTTTTTTAAAAACCTCCTTTGAAAAAATAATGGCAAACTCGACGGGGAAGGCGCCTCCGGACGAGCGGAGAAAGGGACTTGCTTTCCTGGACGAGCTGCGGCAGTTCCACCACAGCAGAGGGTGAGAGCAGAACCGGGGGGGCAGCGCCGGGGCGAGCCGGGGCGAACGGGGCTCTCCCGCCCGGGCCGGGCGCGGGGTCCCGGCTGACAAGTGCGGGTCTTTCTCTCTCTCACAGGTCGCCTTTTAAAAAAATCCCTGCGGTGGGTGGGAAGGAGCTGGATCTTCACGGTCTCTACACCAGAGTCACTACTTTAGGCGGATTCGCGAAGGTGAGTGGAAGTTTTAATTTGTATTTCCCTCTCACTGGCCTCCTCCAAAAAGTCTCCTTTGACCCCAGAGTGGGCGCTTGGGGCTGGGGGGGTGGCCTGCGGGGGCAAAAGGCGTTCTTTTCGCTCCCAGCCGGTGGCACGGAGGCGGACGGCGGCGGGGCTGTTTTTGGCCTGGTGGCTCGCGTGCGCGCGGCGGGCGCGGGGCTCCCGCGGGCTGGCGGCCCGGCGCCGGCTAGCGCCCTGCCCGGTGCCCAGTCGGGCCGGCGGGGTCTGAGCGCCGCGGTGGGGAGTGCGGGCGTGCGGGGCGCCAGCTCGAGCCCCACGCCCGCCCCGCGCCCGCACCGCCCGCCCGCTCGCTCGCTCGCTCGTCAGCTCTGCCGCCGCTGCCGCTCTAGCACAGGCGGAGACACAGAGACACACAGACTCAGAGCAGTTTTCGTGCAACTCAAAATTAGCGCGGGCAGGTTTAACATCGATAATCGGCTGCGAAATGATCCCGGCAGCCGGGGGCACAGCCTCGGCCCCGTCGCCCTCGGTTTATACAGCTAACAAAAGAAACCAGGACCTGTCTCCAAATAGCCATCTTAGGCTTCAAGGCTAGGCAGAAGCTGTAGGCCTCAAAGAAGGGCCTATGGAGATGGATAGATCTGGGAGAGGGATCGGAATCGGCCCCGGCCCCGGACCCCCCAGAACCCGCGGACGTCGCTGTCCGGAACTGTATTGATCCTTTTGAACTTTTTTTTTTTTTTTTTTTTTTTTTTTTTTTTTTTAGTGTAAACGGACCGCGTTGAGATTTAAAAGGGGGCGACAGAGGGACTTGCGATTGGTTATTGTCCGGGCTTCAAAAACAAAACAAACCCACCAACCCCCCCAAACAAAACAAGTGGTATTAAATACAGGGCTGTCTGGTGAAGACATAGTGATTCAAGAAGCCCTTGCTTAGTAACTCTTACCGATCGATCAGAAACAACGATTGATGCCTTAGGTATCTACAGATCTCTGTAGAATGGGTATTTATTTCAGTTAGGTTAAGGTTTTTTTAGATTGTTCACTTTCAGACAAGTGTGCCTGTGTTTTCCCAGGTTTCTGAGAAGAATCAGTGGGGAGAAATTGTTGAAGAGTTCAACTTTCCCAGAAGTTGTTCTAACGCAGCCTTTGCTTTAAAACAGTATTACTTGCGGTGAGTAGTAGTGACTTTTCCATAGTATTTGGAAATAAGGGACTTATGGAGAGATTTGTTTTTAGCAAAACCGAAAACAAACCTTGCACACCAAACAGTTCCTAAGCTCTTGTTCATTTCAGACTAAGACACATTTAATATAAATAAAATGAGATTGTAGGAAGGTGAAAGTTATTTTTTTTTTTTTTTTTTTTTTTTTTTACCAATTTTAGGTCGTTTACATTTTTCATACAAAATCATTACAGGTGACATCCCAGCCCCCATCTTGGTAAACATTCTTTTGTGACATTGCTTTTGATCGCTTGATATCCACCGAATGGCAGAAAGGTGATGCTTAGTAAAAGAGTTAAGATAGTTAATGAAACTTTGTAATTTTTGGGAAAATTTTTTTTTTCTTTGTTTTGGAAACTTCTTTAGTTTAAAAAATTCTGACTTTCAGATTTTTTTTTTTAAATGAAACTTCTTGTTTGGAACAGTGTCATTGGATAGGTTTTTCAGTAGAGTATGAATACATGGCATAACATGTTGGTGCCTTAGGTGACCAGGATTTGTTTTGAGAATTTTTGTTGAATTTCCAGTGACTTAAAAATTTTCAAAATGATTATTATATCTCTAGGAAAATGGGGATGCTATGAAGTGGGATACTATACTTTGGATTTTCTTTCATTCTCCCTTTTTTTTTTTTTTTTTTTTTGACTGCTTATTTGACAAAGTTCTTACTCTGTTGGTATGTGATACAGTCTAGATGATATATTTTGTGGTTTAGTGTTTTTCTTTGCTTCTAGTTTTTCTTCTAGGAATCCTTTCATATAATTTATCGTGAAGTTGTGTATTATTTTTAATGCTTCAGAGGATTCTAAGCTAATTGGTATTATTTAAAACTAAAATGATATTTTTTGTATTTATTGCTTTTCAATAGTGATACTACAGGCCTTTTTTTGTAATGTGGATTCTGCATAATTTGAGTTTTGCATTTATTATTGCTTCAGATGCATTCAGTTATCATGTGTTACATTCAGCATTCTGAAATAGGAAATGCAATAATTGCACAGGTGTACTTTCTATTGGCTATCTTAGATTGACTTCAGGCTTGAAGCTGGAGTTCACAGAACTTTGTGGAGTAGTTATTGTGTAGTTATTGAGTTACAGAGGAAGTCTAGAAAATATTGATATGGTTGGTTGTCATCTGTTATGTGTGATGGCATTTGTGTCAGAGCACATTTTAAAATAAAGGGCTGAATCAGAAAACAAAATCAACCTCCAAAACTGTTGAGTTAGTAGTGGGGTGAGAAACGGAGAGTTTTATATTCATGGTGACATTCATTTGCTCATTTCCATTTATGATATTGGGAGGAACATATTAATACATATTATGGTTTTTTGGTTTTATCAGTTTAAAACATTTGAGTTTTGGACTTTTAAAATACATATTTTTGAAGTTTTGCTTCATATTTGTTAGATTGGTTGATTTAAATTTTAGAACCAGAAAGTACTATAGAATATACGTGGTTCGCGAGATGTATATTTTTCTGAAGAATTTACATTCATACTAATAGTTTTAGCATAATCAAAGTAATATCTAGGCTTCCAATTTTTTTGAACAAAAGCTGATTATAAATATTGTTTTTCCAGTT